TTAAAAAATTGTTTTTATATTTAAATTATAATTAGTCTCTCTCTCTCTCTCTCTCTCTCTGATATGCGTTAACACTTAAATAAATCATAAATCGCTTATTGAATACATTATTGACACCTGAATGCTTTTAACACTTATTATTATTATTACTGTTATTTTTTCCCAATAATTTGCGAAAAAAAGTTTTTAACTGAATTTAAACTCATAAACTAAATGCACAGATAATTAATGAAAGAATTGGTCCCAAAAAGTATTGAGGAAAAGAAATGTTGAATATTTTGTTAGCGAAATGTCATAAATGATCGATTGAACTAATTTTGTGTATTATTGTAAACATAATTAAAACAACATTTTCACCCCTTTCTCTGTTGGGGTTTTGTTTTATTTCTGTTCACTGTTTATGTGTTTGAAGAAAATATAAAATTAGTTATTAATACTAAATGTAATAAAAATAGAAATTATTATTTATTGGTTGGAAAAATATCTAATCGTTTTACTATTTTGTTTAATTTATCTAAAATAAAATCGGTTTAAATTTTGATTTATATGACAAATGCATACAATTTTCGTGGAGAGAGAGACTAATTATAATTTAAATATAAAAACAATTTTTTAAAACATTAGAAAATTATATTCAAATTTTTATATAAAAAAGATTTCAACGAAAGAGTTAATGCATTTTCTTCACGAAATATTTAACAAAATAAACTTTTTATGCATTTATATAAATAAAAATTGTAATGATATCTAAAATAAGAAATTAAATTTTGAACAAATTAATTGTAGAAATATTTATATAAAACAATTTGAAATAATATTATCCGTTGATTTTGGTGATGGTCTTTGATCTCAACCTATGGTTAATTAATTTACGTTACAATACATTAAAAACAGTGTTTGCGATGAATAGATAATTATGTGAATAACATATTTATATATAAGACTATATTACAAAATAATTATAATAATTATTATTACAAAATTAATAATAATGAAAAATGTGAAAAGTAATGACAATTTTTTCAGACTCTTTGCGGATATAATTATATATAAAACAAATTTATATATTTTCCACTTTTTTTTAAAAACAATGTTTAAATTAACCAAAAAGTGTTTCATTGATAACAAAAAACAATTTTGCAAAATATGAACACAATTTTGCGTTTAAATACTTCCCCAAAGAAAATAGTCAATTGAAAACATCGGTAAAGAAAGCAATTATACAAAGAAAATAAAAAAAAGTTCTGTTAAAAACACGAGTATATAAAAAAATTTGTAACATTTTGTGTTCATATAAAGTAAAGTTAATAATTCGTTGTTTTTCTAATGTATTTTACTTTTTTGTGTTTCAATAGGTTTTTTGTTTGTAACGGATTTCGATGGTTAGTGAAGTAGAGAGAAGAGAGAAATAAGTAGCAAAATATTAATAATAATAATACAAAAAATAAAATTAATTATGAAATTGGTTTGTGAATGAATGCACACAAAATAACTGTCATTTTGTATCGGTGTGTAAAATGGGAAACATAGAAAAAGCACTTGTTTTCAAACAAACACATTAACAACAATTCAAAATAGACTTATTTTGATGTTTAAAAATTCCTAAACGATTTGGTGGAGGAAGTGATAAGTAGTAGACAACAGAATAGCACACTATAAATAATACATATACAGTAATGATAGTCCAAAAATCAATTGTTTTTGGCTTATCATCAGTGGTTTTCTAAATTAATTAATTAAAAAATTAAAACAATTATAATAATTATAAAATGGCATCAAATTTCAAAATAATAATAATATTAAAGTCTTCACAGTCTTTCACAAGAGGAGGTGATTAGCGATGGTTTGCGAAATCAATCAATAAAAAGAGTCCGTGTTTTTGGGCGCACTTTCTTTCCTCTCATTCTTGTAATCAATTTTAAAAACATTTAAATTTGAAATTCTTGTGTTTGAAGTGTAAAAATATTAGAGTTTATCACAGAATAAATGATTTGAGGTCCAAAATTCATTATAACTATTATTAATAATTATTAAAGAATATTCTGTTTTCAAGAATCTTCGGGTTTGCACATCAGTGAATGGGAAGCACAACAATTACGCTTAATGTAGTCGTGTTGGCAGTATTTGTCGCCAAACCTCTCCAAGAATTGGGTGCACGTCAGCGAACCGGCCATCCGTTGGACGTTGTTTTGACAGTCGGCCACCACTGCCGGCGCTTCCGGTGTTTGGCTACTTGTGGTCGACGTTTGGTTGTCGGCGGCGGCAACAGCTGTCGGCACAACCACTTGCGGCGACTCCATTGTGGGCGACGGCACTCTCGGCACTAAGTATTGATTAATTGGGTTGCGAACGGGGGTCACCCGGGATGCTCGCCTGCCCGGGCGTCTATTGGGCGGCGGATCGACGCGCGATAGTATCCGATCGGGATTGGATGCGGCGACGGCCGTACCCGCCGGTGCCGGCAGTCGACTAATCGTTTGCGATACGTGTGTGTAATCGGGAATTATATTCTCCACTTCTGCTAAACACTTGCCATTGCGACAGATCTGTTGAAAACAATAATTAGTTTTATTTTTTTTGTTAATCACAAAACAGTGTTAAGGAAACGCAACAACAAAATAAATATAGCATTGAATTAAAAGTAATGAATTAAAAATGCAAATTTTTGCAACAAAATACCTGTCCGTCGCCACAGGGAGAGCCTTCAGCCGCCGGCCGATAGGAAACACAATAACCGGAGGCGCTGTCGAAGCAGAAGAGTTGAGCGCAAACGCGAGCGTCTTTCTAATGGGTTATCAATTGACACACAATTAGACAACAAATCGATCATTAAATTGGTGTTCAAACAGATATATAACACATTTATTGAGATATGAATTTAGGAAATGACGACAACAAAAAACTTACAAAACAAGCGTTAGTCCCTCTGTCTCTTTTGCACTGTTCGTCCAGCGATAGCATAGTTCCCGGCAATACTCGGGGCAACAGTTGGTTCTCGTGCGGAAAGTTGTACAGACATGTGGCCGTCTCTCCGCTGGAAATTAAATTATAATTTTTTTAATTTCAAAAATAACAAATAAGATTAGATTTGGTTTTATCTATAAATCGATTTTTCAATTTCTCAATACAAATGGCTTTAAGACATACTTTAGGAAATGTTTAAACTGCTCGACACTACAGGAAGACCAGCGAAAGCCGCGCTCAGTGTGTCTGAGATCACTCATGATAAAGCCGTCTTCCCAGGGGCAACGGGTCGCACCGGGACCTCCCAAATAGCTGGGCGGTGGCGAACCGTCGTGAACACAGCCGAGACTATTGAAGCGATACAACAAAATATACAAACATTAATCATACAAATAATGAAACACATGTCAATTGACACATACAGGTGTCCGACTTCGTGAGCGGCCACAATAATACCGCTGAACCCTCCGCTGTCTTCGATAATCGCCACGGAATTGACTTTTTCGAGCCGTTTATTGACAACACAGGCGCCGCCGACGTACGCAAAGCCGGCGGTTCCCCGATTACAGCGGCCGCCCTCATACCTGCGCCGACACATATCCAGTTTAGTGATGACGACCGCCAGATCGTAAGTCGGCAACCGGTCCTCTCTGTATAAGTACTTTCCCATATCAGTGAGAGCGCCGGCGGCGTCCACGGCGTCGGCATTAGGCGATCGCAATCTATTTCGCTCCAAATAAGGCGTCGCATCCCTGTCCTGAAGGCACACAAATCGATAGCGAGTGAGAAATAAATACATATCTCGTGTTATCAGTAGTTTTGGCAGTAAAGCGAAATGACATACAAATCAAACAAATCGATAGACAGACAGAGAAAGTGATAACTAATTAGGAAGTGAGCGCTCATTGAGGAAGTGATAGGCAATGACATAAGAAAAATGAGGGCAATTGCTTTTGTTGACACATACCTTGGCCACTATCATACCGGCCAGACTGACCCGAATCTGGGGGTGAGCTAACAGTTTGTACCGCAAATCGACTCCATTCCAGAAACTGATAAAATATCGTTTAACGTCACGACTGGTGGCGCCGTGTAATACATAGGAGTCGTAATCGACGACTAACAACACCTCTGGCCATACGGTGTTCGGCGCCTGACGTTTGCGGCGACTCGACCGCGACTGAGCCGATGCCGACCCGTTAGATGCGGCGCCTGACGTCCAGTTCCCGTGGCCGGCACCCAATTGGCTGAACTTTGTGTCCATTTCCACTGTTAATGGCGTTAAAAATAAAAATTTCCAAAATTAAAGTCAAGTAATAGTTTTTTTTTATCCGAAATATTCAAAAAAGCTATTTATATATTAAGAAAAGTGCTATTTTTTATATAGCGCTCAACGCTTACAATAGTCTGAATGATAATTGTTTTGCGGGTCAAACAGATTTCGTTTGTATATGAAATGAGTGTTCCCTAAATTCGTTGAATTATTATAACTATTTTTAGTATTTCTATGTCTACTAGTATTGGTGCTGTTGGGCAGCGGCTCCGATGAGGCCTTTGTATCCGTCCTCTCATCGCTGTTTGTATTAGCGATTATTGAATTATTTTTATTACTATTATTATTATAATTATGATTATTGTTGTGGCGCTTGTCTTCGATGGCCTCGTCTTCGTCTAAGAACATCTCGTCGTCTTCATTGTCGACATTATAGTTGAGATATTCAGCGTTTTCTAAGCTAACCGTTTGAGGAACTGGTCGTATGACTAAATCATTACCAATAGTTCCGTGCTATCAATGAATCGATTGAAAGAAAAAGTTATACAAATTGTTTGCAACTAATTTTGTTCATCAATTGTTTGCAATTAAAAATTTATAGCGGGATTAAGTATAGAGACTAACCAATTGAATAGTACCATCAGGATTACGATCGACTAAAATCGCGGCCATATTTGACTTGTCGTGATATGTGGTCCCAATATTTGGGTTTTCCTAAAAATATACATAAGTTATATGTTAATAGATATGCTGTTTTTGAGTGCAATGAAACGTTAAAGAATATAATAATAATTATAATTATTATGATAAGTGCAGTAATTTTTGTTTCTCTCGTTTGGTATATATTTTTTAAAAATATACAACTAATTAGTAAATTGGACTCAATTTCGGTGTTCAGCTCAGACTTCATATGCAAAAGCGTTTTAATTATTATGAAACAAAAATTGGAGACACTTTTAACAGTTAAATCTGTTTCACAATAAAATAGATAATACGCTGATGAGAGTGATGGCGATTTTTGAATGAGAGAGAGAGAGAGAGAGAGCTACAAGTGTAGGAAAATATTAAATAAGAAAATTATGAGTTTTATTAATAATGAAGCGAAATATTATTATTAAAAAATGAAAAGTTTGAGAGAGAGAGAGAGAGAGAGTATTTTAAATTAATTTTAGGAGTGTTTGTGTGGGGGAAGAGGGGAACCATACAATCAATCTTAAAAATAAATTTTTAATTGAAAAAAATGAAACAACAAAATAAATATAAATATATGTTTTTTGATATTATTTGTTGAAACAAAAAACAATACATAAAAACCAGAAATCTATTTTTGTAGACAAGTATTATGTAGTATATTATTTTGTGGACAACATAATGTGATATAAATTTAATAGTCGCCTCCATTGAAAGCAATGAGATTTCAATCTAATGATTACTATTTTTATTTAAATAATCTTTTTATAATTGAATTAAAATTATTTTATACGATAAGTTGAGTGGTTATACATTCCGACCCAACCATAGGCACAGTTTTTAATGATCGGAAACACTGTTAAGAAATTATAAATTAACTTTAAATTAGTCCTCAGGAAAATTGTTGCTAAAATCTCTCTCTCTCTCTCTCTCTCTCTCTCTCTCTCGCAAATCCTCTTAAATAGTGTTGTAATAGTTTTCACTGTATTGTCAGTTCAGTAGCGAAATGACCCCAAAAAAAGACAATATTATTATAATTATAAAAATCAATTTCGCGATTATAAGTGCGAAAGTGTTTAACTATTTATTATAATTCTCTTTCGATCTGTTTTTCGTGACTTAATCTTCACAACCCTTTCAATTGAAATCAGAGAAACATTATTTACTGGCGTTTGATTAACGCTGAGAGAGAGAGAGAGAGAGAGAGAGAGAAGTTGTTGTGCCATTATTTTAATTATTATTATGATTACTGTATTATTATTGTCTGTAAAACACAACACAATTGTTGAGTGAAATGCTGTGTTGTTTTGAAAACACAATAAGAAAAAACTTTCTAAACTTAGTTCATATGTAAGCGATTGTAGGGATAGTAGGGGTGGTTAGGGATGCCCTGAGTTGTGCATTTCATTTGGTCAATGGCCTACTTCTGGGTTGAGTTAAAAAGTGCATAAAAATAAGTCTTTTTACTATTATTGACGCCAATATGGGAACAATAATTCAACAATTGATAGCTTGATGGCCACAAACCCCCTAAAGAGTGTCACCAATTAATCTAATTATAGTCTGACGGCCGGTAACTGCTAAGAAGGCCATCAATTGATCCCAATTATGGGCTTCTGACGGCTAAACGTGTTGTTTGAAAAGGCCATCAATTTATAGCTAATGCTTAGAAAGTTTTGGCCATTTATTTGCCAAAGATTGAGAAATTGGACATAAATTACAGTAATATTAACGCATTTTATATATAAAAACCCAACTGAAAAGAGTCTAAAAATAGGTCATCGACCCCATCATCATATGCCAGTCCTATGCCTGTGCTGTACATCCCTTACCAGTGATTATATATATTATGGAAACGAAAATTGAATTTATTTTCAGTTTTTAAATGCAAAATAAAACGCTAGAGATTAACCATAAGAGAAAGAAGGACAGAGAGAGAGAGAGAGAGAGAGAGAGAGAGAGCTGTAAGAAGAAGAGTGTTGCCTACCGGGCCAGTTGTGGGCGCTTCGCTGTAACGCAACTTTCCATTAGTGGTGGTCTCAGCCATAAACACTTTCATATCTTTGGACCGATCGTTGAAATCATTGTTTTTACGGAGTTTTAGTTTCATATTTTTGCCGAAACTCTTTAAACTCAATTCAATGCGTTTGGGCGACACGTGGTTGGCATCGGAGCGCTGATCCACTGACCGTTTGCTTATGATTCGCACATTTGTCACATCATATTCAGGCACTGAGTGTTTCAAGACGTGTGATAAATGAGAGAAAAAAAACGAGAATTCATTATAAAATCATGTGTATATTCAGTATATTTTTAGGTTGTTTAGCATTTTAATAGATGACAATTTATATGATTTATAGAGATTATTGTTTATTACGGGCGATAATAAACAGATTTCTGGCTGAATTGGGGGTCCGGTGCGCACCGGGAGGGGTCATAAATAGGATCAACTCAATAAAAAAAGCACACACTCTGGAGCTATACTAAGAGTGCGGGTGACCTGTGGTTAGCCCTCCGTAACATAAATTTATAACACGATATATGTGTTAAAAATAATTTATTTGGTTTGAAAAAAAAACTTTTTTCTCCATGAAATATTAGTATCACTTTTCTGTGACCAAAAATTTTTGCTTATATTTTATCTAATCTTAAAACAAATTTTCAACGAAAAAAGTTTTTTTTCGGCAAAAAACATAAAATAAAAATTAGGAAAAACTATCGAAAGCATTAAACACTGTATTTATTATAGAGAATAACAAAAATATATTTTTTAAAAATACGGAAAAAATAATCGTAAAATTTGTCAATAATATTGTTTATGAAATAAATAGCAATAATAATAATAAGATTTTTTATTATAGATTACTATTAATATATAATATGTTTGTTAATGACTTTTATAAGCCATTAAATAATGTATTGAACTATTATTCTATTAAAATCATATCTGTATATATCTATGGCATGAATAGTATGTATGGTCTATGACTTCAAACATGTATAATATTGAGCGCACAGGTATTTTATAGCCATTCAAGTGCTGCTTATAATGTTATAATGTATGGCATGTGTATAACGCTATAACTTATATAATCCAAAACACTTTTCAACGCCAAAGAGTGTATATAAAAACTTTTTTATAATATATAAATATATTTTTATATATAACTATAACTTAATATAGACTTATATAGATATATATAAAGTATGTATAATAAGTCGTCAATAAGTTCTCTATAGTGGTTGTAGTGATCTATTTGACTGTAAAGGACTGGAAAGGCTGTTTGAATCTGGATTTAACCCAAATAGAGATCTCTCTCTATGTTTCGATAAAATTAGATTTGAAGCAAATAATGAATTCTCTAATTATAGTTATATTTGTTATAAATTTATCAATTTTTATTTTAACGTCACTCACAATAAGAGACTCCAAACAACACAACAGCATTTGTGACACCATTTATATATCAAATATTATACAGATATGTATTCATATCGAGAAATTAGTGGAAATATTTTGATAACTTGTCGGTAATGTTCAGCCATAAAGAGCCAGAGGATAGTGACAACAGATTTGGTCATTACAGCCAAAGCCTATTACTATTTCATAAAACTAATCGTATGTTTACACCAATTTTATAATAGGTTTTAAATGACAAACATTCATGTCATACATGATTAGCAGCATTTAATTGCAATTGAAAGCCATTGCTATAATAGCCTATGAAATGATGTTAAGGTATGCCATAATAATACACTTGTATTACTGGTGGTCAGAGATATCTGATTTGTGTTGTGACTATCGATGCACCCGAGGAATGCGAGTCGAGATTATATGCCATAAAAATAACATTAGTTTTTATAATTTGCAATAAGATATGCAAACAATGCAAAAGCGATATTTTGAGATCAGGTATTCGGGGAAATGCATACATAATATGATTATTCATAATATGTTATATAAAAATATTAACGACACATAAAACAAGACACGACTCTTACCATCATTATGTGACTCTACTTGAAACACATTGCGGAGATCATCGGCGCTCATATGCCTGTGAATCTGGGAATTGGAGTTTTTTGGGCAGAAAAAAGCAGTTTTAAATCATGAGATAAGAAAAAATAGATTTTGAATACAAAATAATAAAAATAAATAAATATAAGATATATATTTGGATTGTTTTTTTCTGGTCCACACAAATGAATGGATAAGAAAATACATCATAAAAAAGAAAAAAGTTATGAAAATATGTTTAAGATGTCTTATATTTATGTATATTTATATCTAAATATTAATGTATGTTATATAACATATAATATACAGACAATTAGAGATTGAATGACTGATTACCTGATGTTTTAATGGATGAGCTAATGGTTGAACGGGTGATAAAATTGCCAGAAAATACAGGACTAGTAGTGATACAGAAAGCTGTGGCGAAGTAATGCTTATCCGCACACATGACGGCTGACGGCGGCGGCGGTGACCGAGACGTCCGATACAAATACATCCTCTTATTAATTGTGTAATGGATGTGTTCATAGTGTTGGCACCGCCGATGGCTGTCTGATCCTAACAGTGATCTTTACTAAGAAAATCTTTTAATGACAACCAAATCCTCTCAACGTGTATATTGTTGTTGTGTTTTTTGTCGGTCTTCTTCTTCTTCGGCTACTTATTGTTGTTTTGTTTGCTGTCGTTGTCTATAATCCGTAATCCTTAAGACCTTAAGCACTCATTCTTCGGCGTATTATTTATATGTATATCCGCTATAAAAAGATGAGAGCATTGATGAAGTTTTTCATGTATTAAATCCGGTGATAATGTATAATCCGATTGGCGTTTAATGCAATCAAATGTAAAGTTTTCAGTACTGTATATACAAAATGCATATCCATTCACGTAATACACCATTCATTAAGACACTTATATTAATAATTTAACCAAAAATATGATAATTTTTGCTCGTTTTTTCTCAATAAATAAATTTCACTTTAAGTTATTATAATTAATATTTACAAAAAAATATTATATATTTTAAATCATGAAATGATAAATGTGAGAAAAATAAACTGGGACAACCGAGAGAGTGAAAGCACTGGACCACTACTGGACTATAATAACTGTGAACACAATTATACATAAAACATGAACAAAAAAGTTAAATATTATAACAAATATTATGCTTTTGTGTACAGAAATCAGTGAACGAATTGAATTGAAAATGTTGAGGACGAAGGAAACAATTAAAACAATTTTCTTAATCCGTTTGATTGATAATAACACAGAAATTCATGTATAAATCACAGACGGAAGCAATTATTTTACACAAGAAAAACAGCGAAAAAATAATATTACTTTTTAAATTATTGTTTCATAAATACATTTGCATTGAATTGAATGAATTGTTCGTTAAGTTTGATAAACTCTGCGCTAAGTCTCTCTCATTGACTCGCATTGAAAACATTTATTCAGATTTTGTTTAAAAATATTTTCCCTGATTTGGGATTAAATTTTGATCAACACTTTAGCAATGGTTTTAAATGTTGAAGACGTAAATCCGTATCCATACCAGTGCTCGTCGTATATGGCAGTGATGTGTGAGAGTGAAAGTGATAGAGAAAAGCGATGGACAGGGAGTGGGAAGTGGAGGGAAGGAGAAGGGCTTTTGATGCGGTTTTACTTTCACCGACGGCTTTCTCCGGCGTGAAAGTGTCGGCGATGGGGGACAGGGATGGGGAGAGTGGCGGCGGTGGAGGTGATGGTGAGAAACTGGTGGCTATTAGTGTGCACAGCATATGAGTGCCCGCGATATTGCATTTGTCATTGCAATGTACGGCACATTATTATTATGAACATTATTGTCGCTATTATATTATGTACACACAGTGGGGACAGTGAGTGTGAGAGAGACTATACAGGTATATACTGTTCACACAATGACAGGTATACGAGTTTGTTAGGCTATGGAGAGCACAGCCACTGGTGACACAGACATAACTGAGCGAATGTGGGGCGAGTCAACTAAATCACATCACTTTACAGTTGAGGAGAGATTTGCAACAGAAAAGAGAGAAATTTTGCGATTGAAGGAAAAGCTTTTGGGATTTTGTGGGCAAATACTATGCGTGTGTGTGAAGTGAGTGAGTGAGAGAGATAAGGGGAGAGAGGGAGAGAGAGAGAGAGAGACAAGTTTTTTGGCGTTATGTAAGAGCGCCACAGCGTATGAACCACTAAGAAAAATGCTGGGCTTATAATACACTCGTGTAGTGAATGTATATATGTTTTTGTGTATATGAATGAATGGTTGAGGAGTACCAGTATATGAGTGGTAGAGAGTGGCTGTGAGCCAAACATACACTACCAGATGACCCACTTATTGTCAACACTCCTTAGGCTTCAGCTGTTGCCTCGTAGGGAAAGGAACTCTAGATCAGCACCACTACCACCACAACCACCAGTATATAGGGCATGACAGGGCCACTGTCTGTATATACCTCAGCTACCTGTATATACCTGTGCTCTGTTGCCAATGTGTATATGCTTTATAAATACATACACCTTAAATATCATGTGTAGAGTTAGAGAGAGAGAGAGAGAGAGAGAGAGAGAGAGAGCTACAAGTGTAGGGAAATATTAAATACGAAAATTATGAGTTTTATTAATAATGAAGCGAAATATTATTATTAAAAAATGAAAAGTTTGAGAAAACAATTTAGCAAAATGTAGGAAATCGTGACCCAATGAGAACTGAATCGAGTTTTTTCACAATACAATGCCTTTTAACACAAATTCAGTGCTTTTTCTCTCTCCACTAATATTATGTATTATTTATTTATTTTCTGTTCAAACCTTATATATATTTTGTTTCGACCGAAAGTACAACAAAATACTGACAAAATATTTTTTAAACACTAAAACCAAACATTGTTTTTGGGAATGAAATGGGAATTTGTTTTATTATTTTTGTTACAAACATAAAGTGAAAGGAAAAGAGAAGAAAAATAGTGATTAAATTAATTTTTACGACTTTTATTAATCGCAACATTAATTCAGTACATAATGTTTGTGACCCTTTTGATACGGATTTAATAAAATAAACCTTTTTTGTTTTTCACCATTTTTAATTAAAATTTATATCATTTAATTTTCCATTGGATTCGTAGAAAAAAGTAACAAAATTTTTGAAAAGTCGAAGGATTTTATAACAAATAATATTATATCTTAACAGAAAAGTATGAATTTAATTTGAATTTATAATTAGTGAGAAATTTGTTTTATTTGTTATAATTATTATTCACTTCCCATTAGATATTCGGAAAATTTTTGTGTCAAATCCAAAATTTCTTATTAGAAGTGCATTTTATTTAAAAAAGTTTTTTTTTCATTTTTAACGTTTATTGAGAATTAAGCTGAAAATATGGCTGAAAACCGATTTTACTGTATTATTATTAATGCATTTTTGTTTGTAAACTAAATAATGACTAATGATCTCAAAACTTATATAATGTACAGAAAACCCAATTTTCACTTCACTGTAGAGAATCTTTTATTTTTGTTTGTATAAGACTTACGATTCAATTGTGTTTTTCCCTATTATTTGGTGTATTTGTGAAATGCGTGAATGAGAGAGAGAGAGAGAGAGGGAGAGAGAGAGAATTTAGCAACAATTTTCCTGAGGACTAATTTAAAGTTAATTTATAATTTCTTAACAGTATTTCCGATCATTAAAAACTGTGCCTATGGTTGGGTCGGAATGTATAACCACTCAACTTATCATATAAAATAATTTTAATTCAATTATAAAAAGATTATTTAAATAAAAATAGTAATCATTAGATTGAAATCTCATTGCTTTCAATGGGGCGACTATTAAATTTATATCACATTATATTGTCCACAAAATAATATTATATAATACTTGTCTACAAAAATAGATTTCTGGTTTTTATGTATTGTTTTTTGTTTCAACAAATAATATCAAAAAACATATATTTATATTTATTTTGTTGTTTCATTTTTTCAATTAAAAATTTATTTTTAAGATTGATTGTATGGTTCCCCTCTTCCCCCACACAAACACTCCTAAAATTAATTTAAAATACTCTCTCTCTCTCTCTCTCTCTCACGCATTTCACAAATACACCAAATAATAGGGAAAAACACAATTGAATCGTAAGTCTTATACAAACAAAAATAAGAGATTCTCTACAGTGAAGTGAAAATTGGGTTTTT